TGACATTTGATCCCTATATATAATGAAGCCACTTAGACTCTCCAACCTCTATGTAAAATTTAGGTGCACCTATTTATATTTAAGATCTCATTTTTAGTAATTTTTTTTACTATTTTGTTTAATTTTATTATTATTAGGGATTCAAGACTCGTACAAAAAAAAAAACTTATGAAATAAAATTTTCGAAATGCCTTATCTTTTTCTAGTGGCATTCAGGAATAAATTATTTCATGTGAGATTTTTATACGTATCCTCAGAAATTTGAGATAGTTTTGGATGTAGGTTTAGGTTGAGATTTTAAGATTTGAATGATTTTTGGGTGATGATTTGGGGTTGCAAGTCAAATTGAAGGTTTAGGTTAAATTTAGAGTCTTTGTAGATTTTTAGGATTTAGGGTCTCATTTTAGAGTTTCAAGGTTTTAGGGCTTTATGTTTTAAGGTTTTGATTTGGCATTTTGAAATTTTATGGTTTAAGGTTTTGAATTTGAAAATATGAGGTTTTAGAGTTTAGAGTTTTAGTTTTAAGATTTTAAGGTTTTGGGGTTTTAGGTTTTTTTTTTTTTATTTTGGAAAAAAATGAGAATTATTGATAACTGAACTTTCTCAATTATCACCAATATTTAGGTGAACTTTCAAAATAGGTTCAGTTTATGCAATCCTCATTTTTCTTAACAGTTTTATATTCATGCAACACGAAGCAAATGAATTATGCAAATGAAAACTAAAAATTAAAAAAACCAATTCAATCAATTTTATACACATTTATTCCTATTTTCTTATTACAATTTTCATTTTGAAAATTAAAAGTGAAATAAATTTTATTTGTTATTTAATTTACTTGTAAAAGTTGTTACTTTATATTTTAATTCAAATTTAATATAACTTAAAAAAATTATTCTTTAATTCCCTAACATTTAAGCGAAATTAAATTTTTAAGATACGATTTGAATTTCGTGTAGGGTTTTTGAGATCATGTTATTTTTTTAAAATATCATTTTGTCTTTGTTCCCATAAAATAATTTTTCTAAAGAAATTATTTTTAACCATAAAATTACTATCTTTCACCTTTTATTCAATATTTGTTTTTTATTTTATAAATCATTCACAATTTTTAGGACAATATGAATAAACATAAAAATATTAAAACATAATAAAATAAACAGCAAAATGAGAAAAAAAATACCTAATTGAGACTTCAATAACAAAGTCCAAAATTCCGAAACAACTAAGCCTAATGAATCAAATTGTTGGGCTAAAAAAACTCTAAGCTTTGTCCATAAAAACTCTGAGAACCCGCTGGTCTTGGGCCAAGCTGGGTTAGGTGTACATTGGGTCTGCAGTGACTGGGCCTGTCGGGTTTGGTTGGCGAGTTAACCCGCTGGGCACGGGTTGGTTTGACCTTTCTCTTTTCTTTAAACCACTATAAATATCAATTTTTTTAAGTTCATTTCATTCTCCATTTCAAAAAACAAAATTTCTTTCTTCTTTGAAAAAACTAAAGCCCCTTACAACCCAATTTCCAGTGGTACACTGCCATCGTCGCCGTCGTTCCTCTCCATTGTCGGTGCCATAGGCCGACACCTTTCACCACCAAAATTTCACCAATTATTCTCCTCAACCTCATTGTCACGAATCCAACGTTAGTTTTTTGCAAATCTTCCTCCATGTTTTTAGATTTAAGCTTGAAACCCAAAACTTTTTACCGCTGAAATAGCACATTCCATCTTCCGATTCTTTTGCAATCCTAGTAGGTCATTACCTTCTTCATTCTCTCCATTTCCACTGTTTTAGATCTACAAAAGAAGTCACCGCCATGAACTAGCCCGAGTTACCACCGCCGTCCCACCTTGTGCTGCCATTGTCGCCGTGGCTTCTAACCTTCTCTTCCTCATATCTACCTTATTTCCACTAAGCTGGAGCCTATCACACCCCAACATTCACCTAAACCCCAAAGATCCTACCTACCTAAAACCCTTTTATTTTGTTTTTTTTTTTTAGTATTTTTAGTTGGCGCTGAGGTTTCTCCCTAAGGAGAGGATTGTGATTTTTTTTTTAATTTTTGATTATGACAGGTTTTAGGTGGTTTTTTGGTAGGCTTGTGGTGGTTTCTTTTTGGTGATAACTGGGTTTCGATTAGGCTTAGGGATGATGGGTTTATAATCTGTTGGTTGTAATATGCTGTGGGTGTAAGTTTTAGGTGCTGCAAAAATGGTGATTTTTGTTCCATGTATCTTCGTTCCTAACTGAGTGCTGTTTTTGGTTTTTGGCCAACCGGGTAGTAGAGGGGTTGTGACAACTTTTGGTAGTATGGTGATGGGTGGGCTGTTGGTGATTAATTGTCTGTGGTTAGGGTGTTTTGATGATGTTGGTGATTTGAAGGTGGTGGCAGGTATGGCCACGGTGGAAGGTCTTTTGCAGGGTGTTCTTGCCTTTTTTTGGTTTGTTGATGGTGTCTGTGGTTGAAGGTTAGGTGGTGATTGTCGTTGGGTTTATTGCTAGTGGTTTAGGGATCTAATCTCGGCTGGTTGTGATAGGGATGATCAGTTTTGGTGCTTGGCAGTGAAGGGGACTGGGTGTGTGTGCCTTGGTCTATGCTGAGTGTCGACACAAGATGGCTGTCTTGGTGGATGAAGGCCAAGTGCCCAGGTTCCTTTTTTCTCCCTCTGTTAAACTCCAATGATAACTTTGGACTGTTGCTCATTGCAGCAATGACATTGCCACATTTCGAGCTGTGTAATGTTGATTTTGGGAGACTGTTCATACTGACTTTGAGAGGTTAGAAAAGTGATTAGAATCTGATAAAATTGGGTTGAAGGTGAATTAGGGCAAAATGCGAGGGGAAAAACAAAAAGCGGAAAAAGCCCTTCTTTTTTGTTGGTTGACCCTATCATTTAAGTTTTTTTGTCTTTGATTTTTTATGGTTTTAATTAATTAAAGTAATCAAATTAGTCTAAAGTAATCAAATTAAGGCTTAAAACAATGAACTTGGCTCAAAAATCAAATATTAGATTTTGACTTTCATTAAGCTTTCATATCTTAATTTAAAATTGATCGAATAAAATTTAATTAGACTTAGGCATATGCATAAAAATAAAAAATGATTAATTTAAAATAAAATATAATTTAATTTAATTTAATTAAAACATTTTAACTGATCCAAATTGAAGCATTAGATTCAAATATAAAATTGAATATACTCGAATTAATTCGAACAAAATTAAATGCCTTTGTTTGAGTGTCCATTGTGTGAAGTACAGAGTTTTGGATGGAAATCGACCCCCACCCCTCCCAATTGAGGTTCGATTGCATCCAAACCAACCTGAGAGCTTTCCACTAAGGGTTCAATTACATCGGAACCCGCCCATAATCTTGAGCAACTTGAAGTTTTGTCTGTAACAAATACAGAAGCTATTAGTAAAGCAGGCCATCTAAACTTTCTCCTAAACCGGAACCTGCCAATTCCAGGAAACCCAACTGCCATCCTCTTCAGCCATGTGTAAAATGTACAGTTCCAAGAAACAACCTGTCGAATTTTGTAGAAAAAATTTTTGGTACATATGGAATTTATGTAAATTGTAATGTAATTTGTCAGTTAATTTGTCAAGTTTATTTGGGAATTAAGATAGATTATATATATTCTACAAAAATCTAGTTGAATTTCTATACCACGAGACCTTGTATCATATTATCAGATTAAGTTCTTGAACCTTTTAGCACCGTCCTCAAATTTATTGGTAAGCTAAGTCAAACGAACATGTAATCATATCTGAATAAGTTACTATAAGAATATGGAAGTACAAGAAAGATGAGGCAATTGCTAGTCGATTTATTTGAATAATTTAATTTAAACTCAAAAATTGATTTTTATTAAAATAATTTATGAATAATTTGACTTGTTTACACTTTAATTACTTCAGTAAAATTTGTTAATTACTTACTTTATTTGTACATTTGCCAAAGCCGTTGTTCCTGCTTGTTCTGTTCAAAAGATGCACATTTTTTAACATGACGGAGCTAGGAGAAACATGTTAATTTCATCATTTTTGTTTGGTGAACTCAAAGAAAATCACAAATCAATCTCGGTATAATTAATTGTTATTATTGTCTAGTTTTTCAATTAATAACTCGCTGGTCGGTTGTATATGTCACAAAAAGAATTAAATTTATATATATTCAAAGAAACAGAATAATGGCTAAAAAGGGCGAAATATATATATATATAAATATATATATATGTAGATAAATTTATTTTATATATAATGTTTAAATAAAATCAGTAAAATTTTGTTACATCAATAAAGACAAAATGCAACATATTCAAATGTCATTTTTCAAGAAAAAAATTAAGAAAAAGAAAAGGAAAAAGAGGGTAGATATCATGGTACATCTAGAAGATGTAATTACTTTTGAGATTTGCTAAAACATATAATTATGATTTTATGTTGAAAAAGGATGAAAAATTGTCAAAATGACAAGTTGAAAATTGCAAAAGCCCACATGGCATTTTTCATATATATAAATAAATAATCAAACAACTTTTTGATTCTTCAAGACACCAAAACTTTTTGCGATAATTTTTATTATATTTCATAAAACAAAGTTAGGGATTCACCATGAATTTCACTCGAGAATCTGAGATACATGAACTTAGCTCAGCAATTAGAAATCCTACTTGTAATTCTTTTGACCAATTTGAAGCATTAATATCCAATAAGCTCATGAATTAACAAGGTAGATAGTTTTGGAAAGAAAAAAAAATGTACTTATTTGGGCAAACATCAAAAACATTGAAAAACGCATAATACTTTGAATTCCACACATGCAATGCACTATCGTGTACGAGAATTATTATGGGTTTGGTTTGATTTTCTTGTTCTTGAATCTCCCCATTGCCAAGTTGTGTCGCCTACAATGTTTGTCATCTTTTACCTTGTTTGAATTGAATTTTCCAAACAAAATCCATGGTTTAATTACTACTTACTACTCTTTGTGGCCACCATTCTCCTTCCCCCTCCTGAAGCCATTCGTGACCACCAAAGAATTGCCAACTGGTGGTGGTCAAGAAGCAGGTTGGAAGAAATTTGTGACCAAAGTGATTTGTATTGTTTCTCGTGTGTTGACCATTGAAAGCCTTATATGAGAAACTATGACTGGTAAAAATAGTGGACAAAACATCAAATATAAACACACATTTAAATATACCTGGAATTTTCCTTTGTTAGCCATTTTCTCTTATAATTTTGGCTATATCTCTCTATTTCTTAAGCAAACCCTTCATTTTCAACTCCACCATCTTAGTGTTTGAGCTGTAGCAATGGATGAGATAGAAATACCTCAATATTTCGTCTGTCCCATATCGCTGCAAATCATGAAAGACCCTGTTACAGAGGTTACAGGCATCACTTATGATAGGGAAAGCATAGAGCAATGGTTGAAAACCGCCAAGCACCCGACCTGCCCTGTAACGAAGCAGCTTCTGCCATCAGATTCTGATTTAACCCCAAATCACACGCTGCGGCGGCTGATTCAGGCATGGTCTGCAGCAAATGCGAGTAATGGTATGGATAGGATTCCTACACCAAAATCTCCTCTCAGTAAGAGTCGTGTTCTTAAACTCATTCGTGAATTTGAGGTTCCTAATTTGTATATAAATGCTTTGAAGAAAATGGAAGTCCTAGCAAATGACAATGAAGGGAACAGGAAATGGATGGAGGAAGCAGGAGTCACGAAGGCTTTGATTTTGTTGTTGATCAGATGTTACAAGGAAGGTAGAACTATTGGTCTTGAAGAAGCTCTGAGAATCCTTTATCTTATTTGGAACCCAACATGTGAAATCAAGGATCTTGTGCAAGAAAACTATGATTTCATTGACTGTTTAACATGGATTCTAGGGTGTGAGATTGAGAATCCTGTTACTGTCAAGACTCACGCAATGCTAGTCTCGAAAAGGGTGATTGAAGTCGCAAATACAAGGCTGTTGGAGAAATTGAAACCCGAATTCTTCAAAGAAATGCTAAGGGTACTGAAATTGAAAATCTCTCAACAAGCAACCAAATCTGCCTTGCAAATCTTAAAAGAAGTATGCCGATGGGGAAGAAACAAATCCAAAATCGTCGAAGCTAATGCAATTTTCGAGCTTATTGAATTTGAACTCGAGAAACCTGAAAAGAACATCACGGAACTGATCTCCAATCTTCAGGCACATCTATGTTCCTGCGCGGATGGAAGAGCTCAGTTTCTATGCCATGCCGGGAGCATAGCTATGGTGGCTAAAAGGATCCTAAGAGTTTCGCCGGCAACAGATGATCGTGCTGTTCATATACTTTCATTAATCTCAAAATATTCTGCAACCAAACAATTCCTTTTAGAGATGTTAAGGGTTGGGGCTGTAACAAAGCTTTGCATGGTAATTCAAGCAGATTGTGAACCATATCTGAAAGAGAAAGGTAGAGGGGTCCTTCGATTGCACTCCAGTTTGTGGAATGATTCTCCTTGTATTGCTGTCTATCTGTTAACCAGGTACCAAAGGTAAGCTTGGTGACAAAACTATAAAATAGAAATTATTACAGTTTATGTTAAAGACCATGATAGATTCTAGACATGATCATTAAGGATTCAGAGCAAAACTATCGATCAGTTATGATAATTTTCATAGCTAATGAAAATACAAAATTGAAAGTCAAATTTATCTTAATTAATTCATGCAATTATTTTTAAGATATAATATTCAATAAATTTAAAATTTAAAATTTAACATCTACAATTCTTTTATTTTAACTCCAAATTACGAGTTTCTTTATAAAAAAATACTATATATTAGCTAGTTATCACAACTAATTGTGATCTTTAGCTGTTTATACAGAGGTACTTGCCTATTTCATGGCAAGTTTCTTGTTCATCTTGTTTGTGCTTTTTACTTTCTTTTTTTTACTTCTGATATAGGGGCAGAGGAGCATTTGTTTCAGTAAAACTACTAATACTTATAAAATGTAGGGTTTTTCTTTTAAAACATCCAAAAACGCATTGGATTGACGCTCAAAAAGCCCCTCGGAAAGCGCACGGGGAAGAAAGGTTGGTTGATATGACGTCTCAAAATATCAATGTTAGGGAAGTTCCCGCAATCAATGGTTATTGGCTTGACAGCTGAAAGAGAAAAAAAAAAACAAATCACAGTTACTTTATTAAGTAACTAAAAGGAAAACAAGGAAACGTGCTTTATATGAATTTCAATACATGCAAGATGCAAGTGAAAATAGCTGTAAAACAAAGCAGGGCATGCTCTTCATTCCTCTCCTAACTTTCAGTATATGAAATTTAATAATTTATCAGTTTGAAGCCTTTTTTCAGTAAATTGCATTGAACAAATATAAAATAACAGATCTCGATATTTGATTTTAAGGAGATCAATTAATATGAATTTTAATTTTTTTTTCTTCATATGTAAACTACTATATATATTATCAATATAAATATAAATACAAGAAATATACTAAAAATAACTTACAAAATTATAAATTTTATCAACTCATAAACAAATTTTGAAAAGCATAAGACATCAAATAAATCATTTTACTTAAAATTCTGAATGATTTAAGAAACACAAATAAACCAATTGCTAAATAATATATTCTTTATCAAAATAAAAAAAAAAAATTCCATTAAAAGAATAAAATTAAAACTTTGAGATTAGAAGTTAATAATTTTTTAACCTCCTAAAAAGATTCAAATCTAACTTTTGTGTTGAAAAAATTGCATTATAACAAAAGACGAAATCTAAAATAAAATTAAAAGTGAAGATTATAGATTGATTATAAACAAATATGCTTGATACTCAATTATAGATTTAAGTCTTATGAAGAAACTAAAAAATTAATTTGGTTTTGTTAAATGGACATAATTATGATTGTAAGTTATATACATTTCCTAAACATTTTTACAATATTTTTTATTGGTCTTCTACAAATATGCCATTCGAATTTCAGAGCAATATTAATTGATTTAATTAAGTCAATTGAATATAATACATTCACATCAAAAACAAGCTTATAGATTATTTGATTCCCTTAACAAATTTGATTGCTCTTAAAATTTTGGGAAGGTCAAAGAGCCCTTTTGACTTGTATAACCATTCACCTCTACCTCACGTTACAAAAGTTTTTTAAAATTTTGGGGGAGCCAAGGTCCCCTCTGCTTTGTATAAGGATCCACCCCAGCAAATATATTATATGTCAAAGTAATTTGTAAATGAAAATCACTTTAGGCGGCCAAGTATGGTACTCCTTTTTTTGAGGCACTATTAAAGATGGTTTTATTTATGTTTTGTTTCCGAACTTAATAACTGATTCATAATCTCTTACATAAAAGAGCAGAATTTGAATATCCATATATTTGAAAAATCATGCCTAATTATAGAAATTTTTGCCGAGTTTTTTTTACCAGAATAAATAAACCTTAAATCCTAAGCTTTAATTTTCTCCAAAACGTTCAATTGAAACACGGAATTAACTTGTTTAATTTGGTCTATGTCGTGTTTGAAGATGCTTGGCTGTTCTTAATTTGACCGTCAATCAAATTTATTTTATGCTTCACGGTTCACATTTATATATTTTGAATAGTTTGGTCGAGTCATATACAGATAAAGATTTACCGATCTGTCCAAAATGTTGGGTTTCAAATTGCAAATTTCCGATTGGAGTCCATTGACCTTTATCTTTGATCACTTTTCCGCTTATTCCCTGGGTTTGTCTTGACCCTGGAGACCTTGGCATGGCCACTCTCTAGCTTAAGTCTTTTCAAGCATGCAATTGGGGTTCACCCATTAAACTTTTATTTTTCATGTAATTAATACTATTATGTCAATTTATGTTACCAGGTTAATCCAATCAATTATTTACAATTTAACAACATAACATTCACCCCAATTAAGGGTCAATAAATAGTTAACAACATAATTAGATGTAAAAGTTTCATGTTTTGATTGGAATATAAGAGTTCAATTCAATATCTTGAGTACCATTTTAAAAAAATGATGGCTAAATCATACTTTATCAAGACAAGAAAAAATAAGATGATTAAATATTTATAATGGCTTTGGAATTAATTTGCTTATTCAATTCTAAGATGGCCAATGGTTTGACTTAAAAAAACAAAAGGTAATTGAAGAGATGCAGTGATTGGACTCCATACAATTCAATTTAATTTGAAAGTCAATAATATAATTTCTCAAAAAAAAAAGTCAACAATATTATACTATAAATCTGATTAACATGAAATATATAAATGTCCAAACTTGATAAACTCTTGTTATCAAAATTAATCCAAACCCGAAAAACTCAACCTATATAAGTTAATGTTGAAATCCAATTTAATCCGTCAAATTCAGTTTTGAAAGGCAAAGTTGATCAATTTAAAACATGAAGAAAGAAAATGCAGTTAATCCACTCTTTTTGGGATTGTCATATTTATTTAACCAATTTTAATCTGTTTCCATGGAGCCTTGCAGCATACTAATTAAAATTGTTCAAAATTTCATTATGTTATTTCATTTTATTTCAGTCCTATTATTTTACTAATCACTCTCCTCGTTGAAGCTCCATCTTTATGCTTGCAGGAGGCTTAATTCCTTAATGCAATCATGAATGAATGTCTACATTTTACATTGAGATTAAATTCATCCCTTATTTTAAGTTACTATATATCCTAAATACTGACATTTAATTTGGTTAGTTCAATAATTAATTATATGAAGTCCTTCTGAATTTTATTGGTTCGGAGTACTTTGTCCTAATAGGGAGCCTCAAACTTTTAACTTTTACTGCAAAGTCAACATTAAAGTTTACTTTTGTGGTACTGTTAGGCCTGCAATTAATTATTTTTTGACTATACTCAAAGGGTGATCTTTTTTTTTCAAAGAAGGCACTAAATTAGGAGAAAGTTTTTTAAATGTTAAGATTTGAAGATGAAACCTCCTAAAGATGATTTCTCTTTGATTATCTAGAATTTTCCCTATAAAATTAGTAGTCAAATTTCGATTAGTCAACGATGAAATTTTGGTTTAATGCTCGGTGAAGAAAGTTCTATCAATTATATAAACTTGGTTTAAAGATTCAACCAGAGCAAACCAGAATTGTTCAGCCAGCCATCCCAGATTTCTGGAGACTGGAGAACATTAGATTGGTTCATATAATCTTAAATCGTTAGTTGGAACAGTGCAAAACATATCAACTACTACTACACAGTCATCCCATAATAAATTCTGGAAACTGCTGATTATTATAGAATAGTTTAATGATAATCCTTGATATAAATTTGTCTTTGGTTTTGAATTTCTTTTCATTCTTGAACTCTACCGGGTCAAATAGGGGAAGAAATCAAATCATCAGCTTTTCTTGTTATTGTAAAACGATGAGTGTTATATCTATCTCTCTGGAGTGCCAGATTATTGAGTCTTGTTTGCATCAAAGGACATCCTTTTAAACCTAGAATTTAGTTGAGATGATTCATACAATCACCTTTAAGTGATGACACTTAATAAATTTAAAATTTAAGTCTCAGCACTTGCAACTCATTCTTCTGTTCTTATGTTGCAACTTCTTTTGTATCAAAAATGACTTCCTTTTGTTTTCCTCGTTTCCTTTTTTTTTTTTTTCTTTCTTTATCAAGGTTGACATAAACTAAATTGACCTTCAAATGTACCAGATGGTCTCTTTCACAAAATATGAAAGCTTTGAAAAACATTTAGAGATTAATTATACAACAATTGTGTTTGTTAAGGCATTTTTAGGTTGGTGAGGTAGAATCTACATGTGGTTTGAGAGGAAAGACTGTCCAACCTATTAAGGAAGAAAGAAGAATCAAAGGATATCAAAATTAAGATTTTGACACGAGTTTTCACACTCAAATTAGTATTTAGATAAGAAAACAAAGTAAATAAAATGCTGATAAAGTAATTGAAAATGCTTAGATTAGGTTCGGTTTTACCTTCATCCCTTTACCTGAAAATTTGTATACATATAACGTGGATCAAAGTGTAAGACATGTGTACTCATTTAAATAGATCTTTACTTTTTTTTCTCTCTTTCTATCTATATATATATATATATATATATATATATATATATATATTCAGTCTTTGATTTTCGATAAAATCCCATAAAAGTATTTATAAGTTCATCTACAAAAATTAAAATGCCATTAATTTAAGAAAAAATTATAAAATTCATAGTAGATGAACAATAAAACAATTATAATCCAAAGGCAATAACAACACGTAAATTGTGTTTTGACACCGATTATCTATGTTTATGGTTCATGGTATATCAACTCCGAAACAATTGTCAATACTTTTATGATTTATATTGATAAAATATTTGATTTTTTGTTTTAATAACTATAGTAAATCAGAATAACCACAAGTTAAAAAAAAAAAAAAAACACTCGAGCAATTCCCAAATTTATTAGCACGCAAATTTTCTTCCCAAAAAGAACAAACATAACAATTTTGATAAGGAATATGCAAAAAGTAGTACAATATAGAACCATAATTTCCAAAGAACAATAACAAAATTCTCATCGAAAGTGTCTCTTTGTAGATAATATATATTTCATGCCTATTAAATTTGTATAATTCACATTTAGTTGCATTGAGATATGTGCTTTAATTTTCCGGCCCCATGCCTGTTTCAATCTATCTACACAAAAAAAAATGATCACCGATCTCAAGTACATGGATAACAAGACAACAAATGAGATGGAATACAAGAAGAATTCCTCCAAACCCTAGAATGCAATTTGAGGATCTCCCTTGCTTTCTCCCTGGTGTTGCAACTGCCATCAAGCTGAAGCACCAAACACAACTTGGCCACCATACCAACTTGCAACATTTCCTGAAGAACCCTGGAAGTTGCTGAAAACCTGCAAATCCAGGATAGAATCCTCACTGCCCTGTCACTTGCCAGATGGGAAACCCTGAATATTTTCTTCGAGACAATCGCTAGCCCTGCTCCGTGTTTCAAAAACTCTGCTCTCCCTTCGGCACAACCACAGAGCAGATCCAACACAATCAAAGCTAGTTCGCTACCTCTCTTGTCGGATGTTTGGAGAAGAAGCTCGATCAAGACAAACACTGCACCACCTTCAACGGCCTTGATCCTGTTTCTTCCCCAAGGACAAAGCTCCACGAGGAGTTTCAATGCTGCCTTGGAGGCTTGCTGCGAGATCTGATCACGCAAAGTACGTACGATTTCAGCAAAGAATTCAGGTGTCACGCTGATCAATTTGGCTGGATCTACCAATTCAAAAATATCCTTCAATAGCATCGTGGCGTATGCTCGAGATTGGTGGTTACCATTTTTCAGGACATGAACTACAGACTGTACAAATTCGTGATCGTTGGTAATAATACTCTTTAGATAGCTTTCAGAAACTTTGATATGACAAAGAATACTCAATGCGTCGTTGCTAGCTTTCATAAATTCATACCCTTCGTTGCTCTCCACTTCAAGTAACGTAGAATCATAACTCTTGATAATTGATACCAGGAACTCAACTGCACCAGCGGCTTGCAGGCAGCTTCTGTTTCTTTCACCTTCAAGCGTGATAGATCTGAGCCTTTTAAGGCATTTGAGTTGCATCTCGGGGAACTTTTTCGCGTCTTTAAGGAGCTTGGCGATCTGGGTTTTGTCGATTGGAGACTTTGGTGTTGGGATTCTTTCTATTCCATGGGAAGCATTAAGGGTGCACCATGCTTGGATCAAGCGACGAAGAGTGTGATTTGGGGTTAGATCTGAGTCATGCAACACTTGCCTCGTAACCGGGCACGCCTTTTTCTTGCATGAAAATAACCATCTCTCTATACTATCTCGATCGTATGTTATTCCGGTTGAGATGATAACAGGATCTCTCATGAGTTGAAGGGAAATTGGACAAAGAAAATGGGGAGGAATCTCAACTTCACCCATTTTTTTGTAGGTACTAACGCCAAATCTAACAAATTAACCCAGGCAAACAAAGACTGCAGGATCCTTAAAATTAAAAAGAAAACTGAAGTACTATAGACAAAAACAAACAAAAACTAGTTCATGCATGGAAATATGGAAGATATATGATGCCAACTGCCAAATAAAGGATGAAAAAAAAAAGCTAAAAAATGGAACGAATTGAATGAAATGTTACCTCAAACCCTGTCTAAAGTCTAACACGGGCCAAATTAGCTGGTGGGGGAGAGGTTAGAGACGCTTTTGTGCGTGGAGAGGAGAAAGAGCTAAGCAATGCATATTGTTCAAAATAAAAAAAAAAGTCAACACACGCAAATTTAGAGGGAGAAAAAAAAAAAGAAAGGGAATTAATTAGGGTCATTTTCAAAGTTTTGGAAGAAGTAAAATCTCAAAAAAAAAAAATTGCTACTTCCTGCCTCTAGCATCGAATAAAAAAACTGAAAGACTTTTGGTTTAAGGCATTAAATAAAATGAAATGTGGCTAGGCTTTAAGACTGCAGGCGTCGGTGTCGGGAAGGCAGCTCGCTATTAGCTAACCCTTGTAGGGACTTTTGACTTCTCTTTTTTTGTTTTTTTTTCTTTTTCGGCGAAGATTGTCAATGTTGCATGGCTGTTGCCGACAGTTCCTCATTAATAAATCAAAACAATTGAAAAGGATTTTCTTTTGGAGTTTTTGGTTAAAACAAGGGTTATCCATCGTTATTTTCTTGACTAAAGGTTATTACCGTTAACATTTTAATTAGAACTTTAAAATATGTGCCAACTGCACAAATCCATGTGGAGAAATTCCTTTTTCTTTTAAAGGAAACAAATCTAAATTTCTCTATTTAATTAATCTTCGTTAGATTTCCAGATTTCCAATTAATGTCTAATAAATTTCCACGTGGATCTTCTAATTGATAAAACCATATATGTGTTGCATTTTTATTTTTCTGACCATTCTTTTCATTGGCATTTTCTCTTTCCTTTTTAATCTTTTTGTTTGTTAATTTTTTTTTTTTTGTATGCTCTAAGGTTGCAACTTGAGATGAAGGTATGATTAATTTTAATTTATTCATAATTTCTTTCCTAATGTTACCAAAATTAATCTTACATAGAACGTTGTGCTTCGCTGCTTCGTAAGCATTTGGACATGGAAGAATTTATGAAATGGAGAACCAGCTACACAGCATGAATCGCTAGCTACCTATTTTATTTTTTAAAAATATATATATATATTCTAATTCAAGATTTGAAATTAATTTTTAAGGATGAGATTTTATTGGCTATTAATAATTTTTTTTAATTTTAAATCTTTTTTTTTTTTCTAAACGCAACATCTATGCTTTTGACTTCCTTATAATAATAATGAACTGTCTGGGCAAGCTTTCATTTTAAAATTTTCCTTAAATTCTTAAATTTTCATTTTAAGAAGCAGGTGGATATTGAAGGTTGAACTATGTAATGAAATAAAATTTGTAAAAATTATCTGATTATTACATTTTAAATTTTAGATAGTGTTGATTTAATTATCAAAGCAATTTGTACATTAAACCAATGGCAATTAATAGTTCCACACACATCAGAGGGGAAGTTTTTAAATTCGACAAATAAAATTAAAAAGTTAGTACACATATAATAGTGTATAGGATAATTTTCCATTATATATATAAACATTTATATCTATAAAAATAAGAGTTTAACATCAATAGTTCTTTATCTTTTATATAAAATTATGTGTTTTGTCACTCAGAAATCTCTTTTATCTTTTTCTTGGTATATATGAAAAATGTACATCTCATTAAAATGTAGATCTCACAAAGAAAGAATCGAGCTCCATAAATTTCACTAACATAATGGGGAATTCGACATTGATCAGAAATTATCCAAATGACCGAAAGCAACATTGCCCAAGTTCAAAGCAAACGGCGAGATTGATAGTGACTAGATAGATGTATTGTTGGCATAATAAGACTAAGATAAATTTCATATATATATACATATATATATATGTATATGTATATATATATATATATATATAAACAAGATCTTTAGAGGAAAAAAAATTAAGAAAAAATTAAGGAATGGACAATCATGTGATTTATTGATAAAATATTCGAATCCTAAATTTTAATAACAAAAATTTAAACAACTTCAAATAAGAAAGAGTTAATTATACTTTTGATATTTGATTTTTGAAAAAAAAAATGTATAAATTGATACCTAAAATAAATAAAATATACAATTTGCATCTTAAATTTTCAAATAATGTACAATTAATACCATTAACTTTCAAATTATGTATCATATTAACCTAAATTTTAATTATATCAGTTTATATATGTGACGTTTGATTATTATTATCAAGTTATGTATTTAGCATATATACTATCAATATCTTTTTTAATATAAATTAAAAAGATTTTTTTTACATGAATCGTAAAAATTATACAAAATCGATCAATATTTTCTATCATATGATATCCATATAAAGGGTTTACAAAATATTTAATGTTTTCATTTAACAAATAACATACGCATAATAAAATTATATTGATTAAATATTATATAGATGAATTAAATTAATAATATTAAAATTTGAATTAAAATTATACATTATTTAAAAATTCAAAATGTAAATTATATATTTTATTTTTTTAAGTACTAATTTATATATTTTCTTAAAATTCATATACTTAAACTATAATTAACTCGATAAAGAAAACCAAGGCCAGCACAAGTTTTGCTTATTGCGCGAGGGCAGAGGCATATGAGTGCGCGTTGGATCTATCTGCGTGAGCCTGGCTATCCTAGGACGGAAGAGTCAGACAATAGTTTATCAGGCTGTGGCAGCGCCAGAAAAGGAAGCATAATTGAATTATAAAGATAAAGGGGAATCCTTGTTCATCATGCAACATTTTCGAAATGAAGTAAACAAAATTAGGTTGACCAGTATTACGTTTACATTAAAACAATTTTGTAAACTGTTCAAACTATACCAATTGTTTTTTGTTGGTGGGTTTGAAGCTTTCATCAGCTTGTTAGGCTTTTTCAGTATGAACAGTTCATCTAATTCCAAGAAATATAAGAGAATTTAGTCAATTTTTATAAGAGGTTTGGGATTATAAATAGATATGATGATTTATATATTCATGTAAAAAATTAAAATTTATATATTAATATCATATTTTATATGAAAGTTTTTTATAATAATTCATATTAATATAAAAATATGAAATATAATTTTTTTATTTTATTAAATTTATATATAATTATTATTATAATTTTAAGTTATATTACTTTCATATAATTTATCGATAAAATATTAAATTTTTTATTTTAATAATGACCGAGATTTAATTTTTGATAACCTCAAATATATATTTAAAAAAAATGGAGTATAGAAAACGTGAGACACTCTCTTGAGTCTTATGTGATTACATATGAATGTCTGGAAAAGTTTGAAATACTAAGAATGAAATGAGTTTCATCTTTGTTTCTCTTGCAACCACCCAACTACTTGCTTGAATAGGAAATTAATAGAACATGTACGAAAGCTTTAAAAATAAAACTAAAACCAATTTTGGGTATTTTTAGTCAACCACCACAGCAAATGTCACGAATTGCAGCCATTTCATTCTTCAATGAAACAATATTTCCCTAACAATAAGTCAAGTCCTTATCAGCGATAGACTTTAAAGTTTCTTCTATCCAATTAATTGGAAGTTGAGATGGAGTATTATAATATATATCATTCATGCCTTCATGCATCGGTCATGACAATGTTTCAATCTGAAATAGTAAACACTTTGAATTTCCCTTGTGCATGTTTCAAAAACTTTTGTGCTTGACTTTAACATTTTCATTTATAAAAAATTTGACTAAAATAAATTTCCAGTATTTGATTTAATGCATGTGTCCGAATAAAAAAAAAATTGCAAAAAAAGACCATCAATGTATTACGACTTCATTTGGATGAACAGTAAAATTGATTTCAGTGATATTAAAAACAGTAATAAAAATTATTATAATTACGACATATTAAAAAAATTAATAAAAAATTTATATTAAATAAATTTTACTAAAATTAAAAATTAAATTCAGTTGATGGTATAATGAGTTCAATCTTACCGTACCAAAAGGTAATATCCAAATTTTAGTACAATGGGCCTCCAGATATGGCTTGGGCCAGTATGTAGGCCATGACTCTATCAGATCCAATCCATCTACATGCTAGCTAGATGGATGGGTCATGACATGGCGTGAATAAAGGTTTTTTTCTTTTTACAGATCAGGCTGAACTCAACAAGCCTCTTCAAGGCCTAGTTTTAAATTTAGTTACATGGCTTGAAGATGATTGGACTGTTAAATTTGAGGGCTTAGCCGCTTGGGTTGAAGTTAACTGTAGATGTTGCTTATATCTTACATCAACCTGACATAAAATAATAATCCATTGTATCAATGTTTTCAAACCCTAATCAAACCTATCACTTTCACATTTTTTTTTATTTTAGTTCTTCATCCTTTTTTGATTCTCTTATATTAATATGAAAAAAATATTACGCATATAATTCTTTTTATATTTATAATTTTTAAATAACAACTCAAATATAACGTTTACTAATTTAAAAGTCATGCAAATTAATCCAAAGAGCAATCAAATTTTTTTTTTGTATCCTTTTTATTTAAAAAAAATGAAATAAAAGAATCTCCAGGGAACATGAGGACATAAATTCCACCGAGCATTCTTATAATGCAAGCCATAACCCCAACACAATAAAAGCAGTAATGGTGTCTTGTAACGAATCCTGACGTGTACGGATGATCGGCGGGCAGACAAGATCTAACCACGTTGCCTCCTTGCTCAGCTGCTTGCCCCCACCATCTTCCATCATCCCCCAAAACTATTGGCGATTGCCATGTCTTGTGGTTCACTGTCCCTTGCAATGCTTCAATTTTCCAAGTGTAGGATTCCATGATAAACATATATATACACAAGCTACAATATTTACGGTTAAAAAAAAAAAAAATCTTGATTTGATCATCGATCACATGCCCTTTTTCTTTTTGGATAACGTTCTCATCCGGGCCATGCCTTAGGGATCATTGGAAAGATTTTTCAAGATTTGACAAAGAAATGTTCGGATAAAGTTTAGCTATATGCATATTAGTTGTCTTTCATTTCTATGCTTTATAACATTGTCCTGTTACCTGCGTACATCGAAACAACAATATCGCATTCTAAAACATGAGAAATTTTTTTAACAACGAATAGCATTT